ATTTTACTATTATTCAAAAATTGTTCCAAATAACTTTCATGACTCTCAACAATAACAAGTTTAATAATATGAGGATATTCTATAATTGAGCATTGTTGTTTGTCATTCTTTTGTGGTTCCCGATTTTGTATACGTAGTTCGCTGACAAATGGAAAAGATTTAGCAATTTGAAGAAAAAATTCATGTTCGAAAGAACGTTCATCAACTAATGATATTTTATCAACACGTTTAAATAATCCACCACGAAAATTGTTTGTTATATAATTATAATGTATCAATGAATATGGATATGAATAAATATGACAATGAAATTGATTTGCTTTTGGATAACAATCAATACATGAAACAATTTTAGAGTTTTTAAAATTTTTAAATGTATTTTGAATATCATTATTTGATGGTAAATTAACTTGATTATCAAAAGGAATAATTGAACGAATATTAAATTTAAATTTTTTTAATTGTATCATATAATTCAAAATATTTTCTTCCAAATTATAACCATCAATAAGTTTTTCATAAAAACTGTCAAAATATAAACTGAGTTCTTCTAAATTTGACATTCGATGTAATAATGGAATAAGAATATCATTATAGGCCAATAACTCTGTTTTATGAGTTAGCACAAAACATTTTAAATTTGGAAGTTTTTTCTACAAAACAAAAAAAATGTATTTAATGAATGAAACTATTATTCATTTAATCAAAACATATTAATATGATTGATTTACTTTATTATTGATCACTGGTAACGTAGGTACATTTGACGAACAGATGGTAACATAGATTGTATCAAGTTGATTAAAACGACCATCAAGTAAATAAAGACAATCTTCATAATAGTCAACGACGACACGTAATTGTACTAAAGTTGAAGATAATATATTTGGAGGTGATACACCAAATGTTAATCGATGATAATCAGAACCAGCAAATGGACTGAAATTCAAATATAGTAATTCTTTGAACATTAAAAGGATTTGTGTAAATATAAATATATTTATATCTATAATTGAACTTGTTGATTCTTGACACTCGTTAATATGAATAACAATTGATGATAATTGATTTTTGAAAATTCGAATTAAATAACTTTCATCTAAATAAACATTGAATATTTT